CTCCCCCCAGTGATACATGTGGGTGTTGGACAGGCTGGGATCGTATCCCATTGAACCCCATGTTATAATGATCCACATCTGTGATATTTCACCTAGAGATGAGTTTTTCAGGAACCTAACCAAATTGTAAAAAGTGGGATACCTGTTTGAAATTTGGGATTTATTTATTTTATTTTTTTTTATGAAGAATCTCATAAACTAAATATATGTTCATTTAAATTTTTGTGAAATTGTTCCTTCTGCAAAAAGGCCAAACAACTGGCCTTTTAGGGTAATGGCATTAAATGCCAGTCCACAGTTATGTTGGGGGCCTGGTGTATAATGCCATTATGTAAAAAGGTCAGCTGTTTGGTCTATTTAAAAAAACAAAAACATAACATAATACAGTACCTTCCAACATAAATTGGTATTTAACTTTAAACAAGCTTTTTAATATTCCTGCCAAAAAAATATACTTTAATATTAAAACAAATGTCTACTCTGTAATATCTGGCTATGATATGGGAAATTTTTTCTGAAGACTATTCCAGAATGTGGAACCTTTTTGTTCAACCCAATTTGTAGTATATGCTCTGCAATTCTAACGTATGTAAAGTTTATACTGTAATTAAAAATTATTTTGGCTGTTAAAGTTCAATACACAGAACAATTTTATTTCTAGTACTGTAATTGCATTACTCTTACATTACCAGAAATGTGTTGATCAAAAATTTCCCTCGGTGATAAATAAATACTGTATTGCTTAGACGTCCTCTTGGTGTCATAATACAGTACAGTATAGTCTTTATTACATAGTTGTTTTCTTCTGTGTTTTACTCTGAAGAGTAAATTCGATTATGCTAAATTATGTAGAATTACAGCATTTATGAGTGTTGTAAAGTTTAAATTATTTAATACACAGAAGGTTTATATAAATATAAACAGGTATGGAGCCATTTTTCCAGTATATTTAGAATGCTCCAAAAACTGGCTATGTTCTGGAACAAATTACTAAAATTGAGCACCAAAAGTAATTTCCGGGCTGAGCGGTGAAATTTTTCAACCACTCTCCACCTGTGAGCTGTATGTTATATTATGGTCATTTTTCAACTTGTAATTTTGGGTAGATATATGTAATTTTATTTTCATTTTTTTTCTCATTTACATGCTCACACAATCCTACATACAGAAAATGCAAAAGGAAATAATTATCATGTGGCAATTGTGTGGAGGTCAGAGGGTCAAGGATGCTGTTGCGTTGGTAAGGCGAGTATCAGGCCACTGTGATGCAGTTTGTACACTAACTTGTATTACTTTTGCCCTTTACATGATTTTATTATTACAGCACTGTACCGCAGTATTAATATGATTTTGTTATTAATGTTTATATGCCTACAATTTTACGTTTCAATGTTACAGTGTACAGTTAAAGCTACTTTCAGGGCTGAATCTAGTGATCTGAACAGTCTTCACAGCCAGTTACAGAGGGCTTATTGTACATTTTGCACATTTTAGTCTTGATGCTCAAAATTCTGGAAAAATCCTCTATCCAGCAAACTCCAGGTCCCAAGCATGCTAGATAAATGATCTGTACCTGTAGTTGTTTATCATGACAAATGTAAAATGGTCTAATCTCTAATAATCAACAATTACATAGTTATCACAATGAACTTGGAACATTGAAAATAAAGGATTAAATGGTATGTATTTACAAAAACAAATTCTGGGGACATGAATAAAGTTAAGATTAATTTATGTAATTTGAGAAGGGAATTTACTTCATAAAGGAATTTTTGCTATTAACCGTGGACACAAATGTTTAATCTTTATGAACTAAAATAATACAGGTTGTACCTCTCTAGTCCGGCATTCTGTGGTCCGGAAACTCCCATGGTCCGGAATGACTTTAGTTTGTCCAATAGGTAGATAGGCAGCTTTTTTTTTTTTTTTTTTATCTGAATTATTATTATTATTACAGGAGTATTAAATTTTTGCTCCTCAGGCCCCAATGTGGGTCAGTGACCTATGCCCGGGTGGGCTAATCCCCTAAAAAAAAAAAAAGCCGCGGGAAATTAAGGTTTGTTTACATCCTGCAGTTCGGCTGCATTCTCTCTCTGCTTGTCTATACAGAGTACAACATTTAACCCTTCAATATATATGAGCAGTAAATAAGTGTTGCTTTCATATTCTTATGTAGAGTAATGACGATATGTTTTCACATGTGTGCACTTACATACGCGGTCTCACTTTTTTTTACCATTAATGTTTAGCTACTTATATTGTTCCATTTATTAACATTAAATTACATTATTTAAAACTACCATATTAATTTTACTACAGCTACAGCCAAGGTCTTATTTTCTTCAGTTTTATATGTAGAACCAGTCAGTCACTGGTTTTGTAATCAACGAAAACAATGCTGTGTCATTTCCTCGTGTGTTTTAATATTCTACGTATTATTAATGAATTGTATTGCTCATTTTGCACACATAAACATTAATTCAATAAAAAAGACATTCAGTAAAAAACAATAATGAATCTTTTGTACATAAGAGAAATGACGCTGTTTACACGATTATGCACGTCATCTGCACGTTGGCAGGCCGTTCAAACCCATCGAAATTCAAGTTTCCGCCGTCAATTTTTTTATTTTTTTTTTTTTTGTGTGTTCCAATTAAATACGTTAAGAATTAAAAACTCGCGAAATTTGAGAAGCTACTATACGACATTTAACCCTTCAATATGTCTTCAAAGAGACCATGATGCAGAGAAAGTGGTGCTAGTGCTTCCAAGCATAAGCACAAGTCACTATCTATCCAGGAAAACGGTGAATTTCCATGGTCCGGCACCGGTCAGGTCCCGAGGTTGCCGGACTAGAGAGGTACAACCTGTATAACTTTAAGAAATGTAAGAAATTAATGGCAAAAAAATGAATCAAACAGTGAAGATACTCATTGATAGAGTAAATATCATGATTTCTGTGTCTTTACATATACCAAATAGGTATTGTCAGGAATACAATAAGTGTTATTGAGTGCTGGGAATATATACTGTACAGCCAAATTATATAACATAAGACAAAGAAATGTCAAAACTTCATCAGTATCTGTTCTAGTGATACAATAAAAGTTTCATCAGTATCTGTACTAGTGATACAATAAAAGTTTCATCTGTACCTGTACTAGTGATACAATAAAAGTTTCATCAACACCAGTGAAACATTTAAAGCTGGAAAATAAGTGGTGTCAATTCCAGTTTATGATTTTTATATGTTTTTAGTTGGGATTGTTGTAATATTCAACTTTACTCCCAAAATAGCTTCTACTACCCCTAGAATAATATTTCATAACAGAAGCTAATATTACATTAACAGATAAGGAACCTTCAAGAATGATATATACTGAAATTGTTGATGAATGTAAAGGATTTATATGAGGTACTTGTTAAAAGAAGTTATAAATTCTGCATATCCTTTGATTTCCCAGGAAGAAAAGAATTTTAAGAAAACTGGCTCTACAATACAGAAAATGAAGAAATGAAAATGTATACTATTGACTGAAACTGACACATTTTCATATACTGATAATATATATGACTTCTCTAGTGTGCTCCTGGTTTAAAGTACCCCAATAGTTATTATTTGTTTAAGTAGTTGAGCATACAATATGAACACCCACAAAACATGTGTTTGTTAATTATCAGAAAAAGCACTTGATTTATTTAAGTATTTATAATGGTTATATTTATTATATGCTCTGAAATAGCATTGTACTGTATTTTCACTAGACCATTCAGTCAAGAATGCCTAATCTATTATAATCTAGTTCATCAATTTCTAACACATCAAATATTGACTACCTGAAGTGCAAAAGACATTATGGACAAATCTGCTTATATGATAATGTAATACAAATGGTAGAATAACAATGTTAACATCACGTAGTTTATCAAAACCTATACTGTATACTGTACTGTAATACTATATTTCACTAGACAATTTCATATTTTTTTAATAATTAAGTTTCAAAAAGAAAAACAATTGTTTTATATTAATAAATTATTTAATAGGAAGAAGGGGAATAATTTTTTTATGGCAAAATTAATTAAATGCTTTGGTAACTGTGGCTAAGAAGTTGCTTAAGTGTACAGTAGACCCTTGCCATTCACGAGGGATAGGTTCCAAGAAATGACTCGAATTGGCAAACCCGCAAATAGCAACTTATATTACCCTAATGCACTACTGTATACCTATACCAAACAACTGACCAGCAGTGGCATCACTCATCCCCTCTTTTATCTTGTCTAATATTAAAACTTTGTTTGTCAGGGTCATCACTGACATCTGTCTTTGACATTTCACTCCACAAGCACTGACACTAGGCAGTTTTTTAGGGGACATTTCACATAGAAACACTAAAGTTTTGTGAGTACAACATGAGATGCTGCGTGGGGTGACTCGTTGTACTGTGGGAAAAGGCTTGCAAGCTAGCCACCATCTGCTTACCACGAATTGTCAAAATCGCAAAGTTGCGAATGGCAAGGGTCTATTGTACTTTAAACCTTAACAGGCAAGGGTCTACTGTACTTTATACCTTAACATACTATCAATGAAATTCTAAATATAGTACTACTTTAAACTATTAAGGCAAGGTAGAAGGAATCACACATTTTAATTCACCATTGTGTGGTAGATAACCATGACTAGTAAAAACTTAAAAACAAGGAAAGTGGAAAATGGAATATATACATATAAAGAATTCTTAACTGTTGGGACTGACCCCCTTATGTTACAGATGAAACTACCATCTTCATCTTTAACAATTATATAATGATTCTAGTGAGCACCAAGTCATATGTGATATGTCTTATCAAAGTTCTAAGAGATACAAACTTGGCTACTTTCAAGAACCAAAGACTTAAGGTGCCAAGCTATTAATGATACACTTTTTATTCTTGGTTTAGAATTATGAATATGTATTGTGGTGTGTGTGATCAGATCAGAAGTATTTATCTTACATTGATTTTCTTTTTTAATACTGATCAAAGTTTATAACAAAAGTGCAAAACAATTCTCAGTTGGAACTCCGGCAAAGGCCTTTCCCCTCACAGGGATTTTTATCCTTGGTTCTTATTTTTTGTGTTAATCTCCTAAAAACTGTCTGAGACCTTCATAATGTTTCCACAGCTTGTTAAAAATTTGGATTCTTAACGTTCAATATCTGAATTTGTTGCTCAATTTCATGACACTATCACTTTATCGGCCAATAATGGTGGGTTCCTCTTCAATTGCATATTGGTCATCTGGAGCCTTATCCTTCTTCCTCTTGCGTGAACACACTCCAAAAGCAATTGCTGCAGCTGCCTGAGAGAAATATGAATACATCATTTATTAAAATTTTCAACTCAAGCACTGGTAGAGTAGATATGAAGTGAGATTGTGATGTAGGTGGCGGCTGGTAATGAAGGTATCAAGTTAGTCATGAGAGAGAGAGTTATGAATATTCTTAGGTAAGAATCATAGTGATCTTGGCAGCAATACATCCATGTCATTCACAATTGGCTTGTCTACTAGGATGTAAGTTTGAATTTATATATTGTAATACTTAAGAAATTTGTTGTGAATAGTTAAAGAGTATATTACAGGTATATTCAAATTTTCATTTAATAAAATTCATAATTTCTAAATGAATAGTACATTGTTAAAGTAATCTTTGTCAGGGAAGTTAGGTTGAGTATCTTGCAGTACAAATGAGTGTGAAGATCTGTTTAAGGCAACGTGAAGCAATTCTGATATCTTACGAGTAAGCATTGACGCTCTTAAAGGTAGGTGGGAAAAAAATTAATTATTTGGACATGAATATGAGTACTGTATAGAAATGGTGACTTGATGATCATGGCTGGTAAAGGAAGAAACAAATATATTACTAATGTATGAACTGATATTAAGAGAGAATAGTATACTTTAAAAGTCATTTGGCCAGAGTTTGTCATACCATAGACTAATTTATATGCATACTGTACTGTATACAGTTGTTCTTGCCCACACTCTGAGGTTATATTTCTACAGATCCTGTGGATTGTACTGCAGATTATTATATCAGTTGTACCAGTAGTGAAAGTGGAATTACATTCCCGAGTCCCAAATCCTTCTAAAATTAACTTAAAACCCCCAAATAATTGTTATTTTCACTTGATATGCTAAGTTAACCTTCTTGAAAGGGGAATTATAATTTGTGACATGTTACATGAAATAAACAATAAAACCACACTAGACCTCATGACATGCCGTGACATGCGTGATGTTGTTCTGGCCCATTTTTTGTGTTGTGGGTGGGCCATGAGCACTGATGCAGCCAACTCTGGCAAGAGGCATTTTTGGGGAGTGATGCACTCAGTAATCATCTGGCTGTCATCATCAGAGGGTTAGCTGCATTATTTCTACGTATGTTTCAGTTGTTATTTATATTTTGGCAACAAATAACTTTCATTTAATAATTGAGAAGAGTTGTTTTACTCTACTGAAAGTACTTTTCTGTTATATATCATAGGAAGGGAATTATTATTCTTTAAAGATGATATGGAGGCATTTCTACATTACTCCTACATATGTTTCAATAGTTACATGTATGTTGGCAACAAATAACTTTCATTTGCTGCATGCATATTGCATAACTTACTTCATAAGTTCATTGCATCAAACTAAGACAGTTTTGTTTTACTTTCTCGTACTGTTAACAATAATAAAGGTAACACCATAGAAGACGAGTAATTGTTTTGTTATACTCACTTATTACTGACTACTATTACAGAACCTCACCTTCAAGTAATCATTCTTCAGCATATGGTATATAGCATCACAGGTTTCAGGTATGATGGGGCTTGAGCTCTGTTTTGATATTCTAGTAGAATACTGCAGGCTTGTGTAGTAACCTCTGGCAGCAAGAAAGTTCAGTGTAGCCTCCAGCCGAGCTCCGAGTGAGATGCTTTCATAAAGGTGAGTAAAGTGTCCTCTTTGCAGTATAGTGTAGAATGCAGTCATAGCATTTGTATATAATTTTCAAAATCACTTTCACTCTCCACAACCAGCTATAAAAAAAATTGTCGGAAGCTTCCTCTTCTATGTCGTCGGGAAATTCACTGCTTGCACCTTATTTGTTTCCTTTTCTCTCATAATATCTTCTTTTTCGCACAGCATAAAGCCACCACAATCCAGAGATCAGTCTCTTGTACCCGGAAGTCAACATCCATACTCTCTCTTTCTCGGGTGGTGATCAATGACTTGCGTTCTATCATGCTCATAGTGTGGCTGCTCATCCCTATCTGCATCACCACACAGGCTGTGAGTCCACACCACAGCGCGCATCATGAGGCCTAGTGTGGACGGGGTTTTAAACACAAATAATGGAGAACATCAAACCACCATGTCTCCCCTCCCCATTGCTGATGTTACCAACAAGGTAAGTGAAATGTAGGGAAGTGTCTTGCTGGTGGTGACTGTGATTTTACACTTTTTACCTTAAAATACATTGTACAGTAATTTTAATATAGTTTGAGTGAATAGAATACAGTCCTGTGTATGTTCATTGAAAATTAAACAGTTTGCACCATCATGTTTGAAATATTAATGTAGTGTAGTAATTTTTCATTTGTGAATAAGCAGGGTATGCTTTGCAAATATTGAATAGGGGTGTTTAAATATTAATTGCGGATAAATTGGGTTGTGATTATTGGGGTTGCGAATAGCGAGGTATTTCTGTACTATTTGTTACATATACATGTACAGTATACTGTACTGCTTAAAACAAAGATTCACCTAAATTGATAACTATAATATGGTACTCAATTACTATAGGAACTGAGTACCTTTGACCAGTAACACTTACCTCAGCAATGAACGAGATCCAAGCAAGCATAAAAGAAAATCCATATTGCCAAGTAGCTCCTGTTGGGTGACGGTTTGGCAACTTCTCAGCCTGGTAGTGATACAGAGAGACTGCGACTTCGATCACGATGAGAACACATCCAGCTGTACAATAATTAGATACTGAAGTTAAATAATCATAAAGGTAAAGGATTTAAAATGGACAGATTTTTTGTGAAGATTATAATAAAACTTGAAAGGAAAAAATCTACATACAGTACTGTAAATATAGCCTTCAGGTTTCCACACCCAAAAATTTTAATGACTGAAAATTTTGGTATTCTGTACTGTAATTAAAAAATATATATACAGTATATATTTTTTTTTAACATACTGTACTGTGGAAAGGAGAGTCAGGTGCTGTGAGGGAGACATTAGTTGTACTGTGAGCAATGAGAGGAACTGATGGTAATGTGACCTGTGAAAGACAATGGTGGTGTTTTAGGCACAGGGCGAGGCTTATACAGTAAAGCTGTTAACAGTAATGGAGAGACTGGTGGAGCAGCGAGAAAGAGATGGGCAGTACTGTGAGCAGTCAGGGAGAGACTGCTGGCACTGTGGGAAGTAATAGGGAGACTAGGTGCTGTGAGTAATAAGGGAGGGATTGGTGATACTGCAGCCAATGCGAGGGAGATGGTGGTGCTTAGCCGTGAGGGAAAGTGATAATGCAGTGAGCTGAAAGAAGTTAGGGAGAGATTGTTTGTGTTGAGCGCAGTGGGGGAGATATTGATGATGCTGTGGGCCGAGATAAATAAGACTAGAAGTGGCATGAGCGCTGATTGAAACAAACTAGTGGTACTACGGTGTTATGAATAGTAAGAGAGACTAGTACTGTAGATAGTTGAGGGAGAAATCAATGCCAGTATAAATAAGGGAAAGAGTAGTTTTGCTGTCGAGTAGTAAAGGAGAGAATAGTATTTTTGTGGTCAAGGAGGAAGAGATTCGTGATGTTAACAGTGAGGAAGTGACTGATGGTATTATAGGCAGTGGGGCAAGGATCAGGATCAGTGCCAGTACAGTATAAGCAATGAGAGGAAAACTGGTGGTGCTGTGTGCACTGACAAAAAGAATTGTGAATACTGTGAGCAATGTGGGAGAGAGAATTAGTTCTGAGTAGAGAGATGAAGAGATTGGTGGTGCTGTGAGAAGTGACAGGGAGTAATGAAGGTGAAACAGGTGGTGTCGTGACCAGTGAGTGGGCCTCATGGTGCTGTGACCAGTGAGGGGGCCTCATGGTGCGCTGAGCAGTGAGGGGGTCTCGGGGTGGAGAGAGTGGAGACATTGGGAACCATGAGAGAGATATTGATGGTTTTGTGAGGAATGAGAGATAGACTAGAAGATCTACTAAAAGCAAAATATTACCAGCAATGACGTGACTACAGGCAGTGAGACGCTTGTACATGTAACGGGTGTGGCGGAAGGTGTAGATGGAGAAGATAAAGCCCATAATCATTATCAAGAGGCTGATGATGGAGAACGCCGCCACCGTCCTCTGGTAATCTGAAAATGAGAGTGTTTGAGGACATTACACACAACAGAAATGCTAACTGCGTATCAATCATGTTCTTAACCGTCAGGGGTGCATGGTTCGAGCTGATTTGGGGTTTGATAAGAGAGGTAAAGATTCGGTAATTATATCTATTCTAGATGGTATAGCAGTTGTAGGGTTATGGTTCCCAGTGAGGTGGTTGAGCTGGTAACACAGATGACACCCCTCCCCCCCCCAACACACGCACAAAAGGTAATCCCCATGTGTTTAATAACCTTCCTTCAGTCTACGAAATTCATTGATTATGTTAACACAGTGCCTACGATACTAAGGTTGCAACCCAAATTTTGAAGGTTCTGATCACCACTAACTTCATTAAGAGAGCAAAAATTGAGAAACAATTGTCTGAAGTCTTGAGGGCAGGGGAAGGAGTGGTGCCAACAGGTGTGCGGCACTGGACCATCTTCGCCTGATGTTTCCTCCTCAAAATACCAACAACAGAAAAAAGACGTTCAACTTGGGACGTGATAAACGAGATCTAACACCCAATGAGCGACTGGTAAGGAAGACAATGATGTAATAAATTACTATTCGTCAATACATTCTTATTCTCCATAGAAAACGCAGGGATCACATGAAGATTAGGCACTCTTTTATTTCACCTGAAGATTAACCCCTCTAATGCTACCTGACCTGGGGGTTAGGTTAGGTTATGATGGTTAATCTTCAAATGAAATAAGTTGAGATGTCTACCTGTGGTCGACAGTACCAACTGTTCCGAAACTAGTGGACCCCATGGTTAACGATACCTTTTTTGGACTATATACGTCAGTGAGTGAGCACCCAAATCACATGCCCTGTATTGTATAAGGTTATTAGCACAACAAGAGTTGATTGAATTTTGTTCACTTTAGCCTAAGAAAATCTTCATCAATGGACTTCGTAACTTTCAGTAGTCTGTCTCAAGATTTTTTTTATCTCAGTGTGTGTGTGTGTGTGTGTGTGTGTGTCGATATAAGACTGATTAGTAAATAACCCTAGGAGTTGTTGGCTGCCACTAAAAAATATAGAAATGCATGCTAAACGAAAATATTATTCTAAACTTCTATAAATAACTGTTGGCTTTCAATTTAGTAGAGAGAGAGAAAGAGAGAGAACACTTTCTAGTTTCTGCCCTAGTCTCTTACCCACCTAGTCATCAATCTCTCAGTTTTTGCTATTGTCTTTCACCCTTCTGCTCAGATGACAAGCGAGGCATGTTAATGGTAGAGGCAGAGGCTTTATTTTCACTGGCACTAGCAGGAGCACCAAAGGGCAACTACCTGACCCTCGCCACTGTTCACGAGGTTAGAATATATATATATATATATATATATATATATATATATATATATATATATATATATATATATATATATATATATATATATATATATAATATATATATATATATATATATATATATATATATATATATATATATATATATATATATATATATATATATATATATATATATATATATATATATATATATATATATATATATATATATATATATATATATAATATCATGTAGATCCACAATGAAAACGAGGACTCGATGATCGTTGATTACGTTTGTTGTCAGGGACGAGTGAATCACTTATCAACAAAAATAGGACCACATGCCCAAGAAAATTGATCGACTTTATCATAAAATCTAGGGACTCAAACAGCGATTTTACTGATAAGTGACCACAAAACCTCTGTGACATTCAAGTCCATTACATTATGAACATCCGGAACCTCAAATGTTCTTTCTGTTGAACCCAGAGTGACACAGGCAGGTGGGTGCTGCTGTATGTCAGTGACCTTTAACTTAAAGAATGAGGATGGTTAAAAGTCGAGTGTGGGAGTAATTAATGGACCAATCGGCGTAATTCAAACCCTCATGCGAGTGTATTCTGCCACTGGCGGCTGGTTGTGCAGGATAGGTAAATAAGGCCTACAATCCACGTTTTTAGTTTATTCCACAGATTACACCGCTGATTAATGCTGCCATGTATGATTTATGATGAAAATGGTGTGACGGACACAAATTGTGCAGTTGAGTAATGATCGAGTTTAATTTAGTTTTTTTAAAGCTTGAATACAGTAAATGTACTCACAGGAGAGCAGACTAGTGTTGCGAGAGCCATAGCAGATGAGAATGAGACCACCTCACAGTTTAAAGTATTTGCCTGAGCTAAGACTGACTCAACAGAGCCACTGTGCTCTGATATAAGCAAAGCCTAACTCGTCTCGCTGTTAACTATATGTAACCAAGAACTGATCATTGGCTAAATTAAACCTAATCAAATAATTAGGCCTGGTGGTTCTTTAAGACCAGGCCCATGAGAACCGGCTGTTAGCCAAATAAAATATTAAGAGAGAGGTTAGTGAAGATAGTCTACTAAAGCTAACGGTAAGAGTAGGTTATTGCTTATTTCACCAGCGGCGGTCACAGCATAACAAACCTAGAGAGAGAGAGAGAGATGCTCTACTGTAAACGTAAATACCTGCACTTGCCAGAAGGTTGAAATGCACATTACACCAACGAAACAAAGTAAACATTGTGCTATCCTTCCCAGAATTTACACACACGCACACACATTGCTTCTTGTTGTACTTTAATCTCCTCTGAAAACTTGTGAACAATGGCGCCAGGTGTGGGAGACTGTGTGTAATGGGACCATGAAGTTGATCTTTTATTTATTCATATATGGGCTGCACTTCCTTACTTACTGTAAGTTTACTATAGATTATGTTATTGTGTTTTGGGTCGGTTGGTGGTAGGTCGTGTGGGTGGTGGTGGTAGGTCGTGTGGGTGGTGGTGGTAGGTCGTGTGGGTGGTGGTGATAGGTCGTGTGGGTGTTGGTGGTATCGTGTGGGTGATGGTGGTGGTAGGTCGTGTGAGTGGTGATGGTGGTGGGGTCGTGGTGGTGGTAGGTCTTGTGGGTGGCGGTGGTGGTACTGTAGGTCGTGTGGTGGTGGTGGTAGGTCGTGTGGGTGGTGGTGGTAGGTCGTGTGGGTGGTGGTGGTAGGTCGTGTGAGGTGGTGGTAGGTCGTGTGGATGGTAGGTGGGTGGTGGTGGTGGGTCGGTAGGTGGTGGTGGTAGGTCGTGTGGGTGGTGGTGGTAGGTCGTGTAGGTCGTGTGGTGGTGGTGGTAGGTCGGTGTGGTGGTGGTGGTAGGTCGTGTGGGTGGTGGTGGTAGGTCGTGTAGGTGGTGGTGGTAGGTCGTGTGGGTGGTGATGGTGGGTGTGTGGGTGGTGGTGGTAGGTCGTGTGAGGTGGTGGTAGGCGTGTGGGTGGTGGTGGTAGGTCGTGTGGGTAGTGGTGAGGTCGTGTGGTGGTGGGTGGTAGTGGTGGTCGTGTGGGTGGTGGTGGTAGGTCGTGTGGTGTGGTCGTGTGGGGTGGTGGTAGGTCGTGTGGTGGTGGGTGGTGGTAGGTCGTGTGGTGGTGGTGGAGTCTTGTGGGTGGCGGTGGTAGGTCGTGTGGGTGGTGGTGGTAGGTCGTGTGGGTAGTGGTGGCAGGTCGTGTGGGTGGTGGTGGTAGTGGTAGGTCGTGTGGGTGGTGGTGGTAGGTGTGTGGGTGGTGGTGGTGGTGGTGGGTCGTGTGGGTGGTGGTGGTAGTGGTAGGTCGTGTGGTGGTGGTGGTAGTGGTGGTCGTGTGGGTGGTGGTGGTAGGTCGTGGTGGGTGGGGTCAGTGAGTGTGTGAGTGGTGGTAGGTCTTGTGGGTGGGTGGTGGTACTGTAGGTCATGTGGGTGTGGTGGTGGGTGTGTGGGTGGTAGTGGTAGGTCGTGTGGTGGTGGTGGTAGGTCGTGTGGGTGGTGGTGGTAGTGGTCGTGTGGGTGGTGTGGTGGTCGTGTGTGGTGGTGGTGGTCGTGGTGGTGGTGGTAGGTCGTGTGGTGGTGGTAGGTCTTGTGGGTGGCGTGTGGTGGTACTGTAGGTCGAGGTCGTGTGGGTGGTAGTGGTAGGTGGTGGTGGTGGTAGGTCGTGTGGGTAGTGGTGGTCGTGTAGTGGTGGTGGTAGGTGTGGTGGTGGTAGGTCTTGTGGTGTGGTGGTACTGTAGGTCGTGTGGGTGGTGGTGGTAGGTCGTGTGGGTGGTGGTGGTCTGGGTGGCAGTGTGGTGGTACTGTAGGTCGTGTGGGTGGTGGTGGTAGGTCGTGTGGGTGGTGGTGGTAGGTCGTGTGGAGTAGTGGTGGTAGGTCGTGTGGGTGGTGGTGGTAGTGGTGGGTCGTGTGGGTGGTAGTGGTGGGTCGTGTGGTGGTGGTGGTAGGTCGTGTGGTGGTGGTGGTCTTGTGGGTGGCGGTGGTGGTACTGTGGTCGTGTGGTGGTGGTGGTAGGTCGTGTGGGTGGTGGTGGTAGGTCGTGTGGGTAGTGGTGGTGGTGGGTGGTGGTGGTAGTGGTGGTCGTGGGGTGGTGGTGGTGGTCGTGTGGGTGGTAGTGGTGGGTCGTGTGGTGGTGGTGGTAGGTCGTGGGGTGGTGGTGGTAGGTCGTGTGGGTGGTGGTGGTAGGTCGTGTGGTGGTGGTAGGTCGTGTGGGTGGTGGTGGTGGTCGGTGGTGTGGTGGTGGTGGTGGTCGTGTGGGTGGTGGTGGTGGTGTGTGGTGGTGGTGGTGGGTGTGTGGGTGGTGGTGGTAGGTCGTGTGGGTGGTGGTGGTAGGTCGTGTGTGGTGGTAGGTCGTGTGGGTGGTGGTGGTGGTAGTGGTAGGCCGTGTGAGTGGTGGTGGTAGTGGGTCGTGAGAGTGTGGCGAGGATTGGTTAATGTTAATATTTGGTGATGTTATTCACTGTTGCCACTTCTAAAACTGACACTATCACCCTCTGACAGCCCAGGCACTATCACCCACACTGACAGCCCAGACACTATCACCACACTGACAGCCCAGGCACTATCACCCACACTGACAGCACTATCACCCACTCTGACAGCCCAGGCACTATCACCCACACTGACAGCCCACTATCACTTGACAGCCCACTATCACCCACACTGACAGCAGGCCACTATCACCCACACTGACAGCCCAGGCACTATCACCCACTCTGACAGCCCAGACACTATCACCCACACTGACAGCCCAGGCACTATCACCCACACAGACAGCCCAGGCACTATCACCCACACTGACAGCCCAGGCACTATCACCCACTCTGACAGCCCAGGCACTATCACCCACACTGACAGCCCAGGCACTATCACCCACTCTGACAGCCCAGGCACTATCACCCATTCTGACAGCCCAAACAGCTACAACCAAGTCACCGTCACCGAAACAGAAAGCCTGTCGCTATCACTTAACCTGACAGCTAAGTCACTGCCAGCAGCCAACCATGCTGACAGCTGGTTATTGTCAAGAGGTACTCTGGTGGTGGTCGGAAGGGCCATACTCGTACATACCTGCTGACTTAGGTCCCGTACAGTACATACTAATGTTTATCTGTAGTTTTTATTCTGTACACGACCATCATCAATAACAAATCGAGTGGGAGTTAATTAAAAATAAGTTAAAATGTGGCAAGGAGGTACAACTTACCGAGGAATACCGGGTGGAGAGGCTTCATCTTCGGGAAGAGCTTGTGGTTTGTGCAGATGTCTGAAACAACAAGGTTCATGATAACGAATAATCACTGAAACCATTGCCTACCTAAGATAGACTTTTACTTACAATAAACAATTTGTAATATTTCTGACGTTGTACTTAGATATGTTTTCTAGGTGATTATCCCATGATGTTAAGTGTCAGGGAAAAATCGACTACCCGAGGACCTGTGTGACTGTCTCCTGCATCAGCGAATGATGGAGAGTCTACTGAATGTATATACACCAGCAGGTTGAGGAGAGGAGAAAGATCTTAGACTATTTTACAAAACGGGCACCGTACGTAACTAACTAAAGAGACGATAATAAATCACATTAGCCAGCTGCCATACAAGGGTGCAAACTGGACGTAAAACATAACGTTCTCTGGGGGACCGGTGGTAGAAGCTGTACCGTTCTTGCCTCGCAAGCGAGATGTCACGAGTTCAATTCCCGGGCCGGTGGAAGTTGTTTGGACTTACTTCCTCGCCCCCATTAGTCCCTGTTCACCTAGCAGTAAAGTAGGTACCTGGTGTAAATCGAAAGTTGCGAATTCGAATTCAGGGACAAGTTGTTGGAGCTTCCAATAACTTGATGACATAAACCATTGACTCTTCAGGCTTCTACCCCCTTGACTCTTCAGGCTTCTACGCCCTTAACTCATGAGACATAAAGGCAAGCATGAACTTAGCATGCTTCCCTGTTGGGCGCTGTAAACGCTTCTGCGCTTCACCTTACACAAGGATGTAGGGGAGTGCCCAATAAAAAAAAAAATGTTTTCTGAGAGACACTTCAACATAATTCGGAGATCAATACCAAGTTCCAGTAGAAAGCGGAGGAAGTTATTAAGTCAGATATCTCCCTGTGCACATCACTGCTGTCTCTGGCAAACAACTAGGCTACACAAAAAAAAGAGAGTAAATGTATGTCTACGCCAGATGTGAAAATCAACGACCTTCTACTGCTTCATACGACCGTGAACTTCTTAAGTTTAAAAAAAAAGCTGTTAATGAGGGAGAATAGGAACATGTCGAATAACCAGTGTCACCCTGCTGCGGCACAGGGTCCCGGGGCACCTGCGTCCCTGAAATAACCCGGGAACAACACCTGAGCTGGGTGGCCAAGGTGGCACGTGACCAAGACCGTGGTAGCGCCACCAAAAGGCTCCAGCTGGGTTACCCAGCCTGGGTACTGTGATCTGTGAGTCGGCGCCCCGGCCCGGCCAGTTTCCTGCTGACTCACTTCCTCGAACTCCTAGCACTCACAAGAAATGTAGATACAGTACTGTACTCCGATTCGCAGATTATACACACAATCACTCATGCGACGGGCAAGCATGGTGATAATGTAAAATACTAAAATAAAATTTCACTACACGCAATAAGTCGTCTTTGAAATCAGGCTAAATCGTGTTAACGTGAAGACTAATATTTTATAAGCGCTTCAACAACAAAGGTCTTTAAGCGCGTTACAAGGTTAGTTATTACACTATTCTGACATTTACAACAATTATTGAGAGCAAAAACTTTGTTAATATGAATACCTTATAGCAAAAACTGTATCACTGTTGATACTGTATCTACAAAATTGACCACAATATGAGATACGACTGAGACACCGCGCACCGTTCGGTGGGAAAAAAAAGCAAACACATTTCTCGTTGGTCATACACAGAATAGATAGCGCTGAAAAATGAGAATAACTGCTAACTTTGAAATAATAGACGTTATCACTGACTTTTATCGAATTTCTCTTCCTTCCTTAAATATAGAATTGTTCTACAGTAATCTTATAAACATAAACAGTTCCACTACCTTCCTGTGCTGCAACACTTATCTATGGGGCCCCCGCAGTACAATATTACCTGATTTATACCATCATCAAATGCCGTATCAATGTGGTGGGTCAGTGTGGGCGTCGACTCAACAGGTGGGTGTCATAATCACGTTGCATCGCCTTAAGAGTATATGATTTAAGTTATGTTGTTTATTGAACTCAGATATTGTAACGATAGTTTGTGCTGTGTTACAATAGGTCTGGAGTGATTGACTGTGGGCCTACTACATGCTTTCTTGAAATCAACACGTCCGAATTATAATAAGTAATGCAGGTCAGGGAAGGACTAGGGTCTCGTGGGCCTGGGGCTAATTAAGTCCAGAGGGCCTATCTTAGGCTATTTGTATAGGATAGAGTATAAAGGCTAATATGTATGTATTTATGAATGTATATTTTATATGTATGAATATATGCTTGTATGTATATTTTATGTATGTGTATATAATTATGGCAGTAATTGATTTTTAGTTTACATATCTATTACAATGTCATCTATTATAAACTTCTATTTTATAGGTATTTGATCACTCGAAAATCAGGCACTCGGCTGAAAGACCGTAAGCAAACTCCCATCTCCCGCGACTGAGAAGCTCCAAACCTTCATACTTTGGCCAATAGCATCAAACTTATGTCATCAAGAGCCAATCACAGCTCGAGAAGTCTTCTATTTGTCAACCCCAAGGCATGAGTACTCTCTTGCCCAGGGCGGTAAATTTGAACGTCAGCGGCGCAAAATATAAACAGTAATGAGATCTAAAATAATTATCGCCAGCCGGAAAAGCTCACTATTTCAACTCGCCCGCCAGGATTTTTTATCGCCTGTGGCGACCGGACTGGCTATTTTGTGCTAGTCTAAGAGACTTATTAGAGAAAGGGCATATATTTTTTAACGAATTTTGTGGACTTATGTTTCTAGTGGGCCTGGGGATACAGCCCCTCAGCCCCTGATGCAGGTGTACAATATATGACCCCTGTCACCTGATTCCTGCCACATCACCCCTGCCACCTCAGCCCTGCCACCTCAGCCCTGCCACCTCACCCCTGCCACCTGACTCCTCCCACATTACCCCTGCCACCTCACCTCTGCCACCTCACCCCTGCCACCTCACTCCTGCCACCTCACTCCTGCCACCTCACTCCTGCCACCTCACCCTTACCACCTCTCTCCTGCCATCCTCGACCGCATTTACTCGGTACTTCCCCAGTTGCAAAGTTAGAAAAGAATGATTCCATCGTGTGCGTGCGTGCGCGCGCGTCAATGGCTGTGGATGATGCAGTGTTTCATTACAAACAGAAATACGAAATATAATTATAATGTAACGCACGCACTTGTGTTTCCTCTCATGTCGTGTGCAGTAGAGTGATGATGACGTCGAAGGAACTAGTAACGCCGGCACTGAGCATGATCACAGGTGGTGTAACTCAGCGCTGTAGTGTAAGTGTACATTTTACTGTGAAAATTATAAGCTAATTCTAGACTTGGCAGTCGTCGTATATTGCCAGGATATTGACTTGTTTAAACAATAGCCCGCGTGAAAATAGTTCGCTGGGTGGATGGTTCTCGTCAGTTCACGTCTCTACTTAACAATTATTTATATAAATGAATCGTGCCTGAAAAATTATCTTGTAATCGTACGCGAAATCACCCCAAGTTGACGCGAGTAATTTTGTAAGCATCAAAATGTACCTCCGGTTTGTTTAATGTGTAAATCTGTTTTTAATCTCTAGAAGAAATTCTATTGAGGTTTATTTCCTGGTGACACGTGGCCATCTTGACATGCGAAGGCCATCAGTAACCCTTGGGCGAGGGCATGTGTGGAGCAAGACCCTAAGGGGGCGCCACCTAACAGGGGGCGGCGAGCGGGACGTGGGCGACCCAGCAGGTATGTTCCCTTGCTACGAGTTGCTGCCGGTGTGGCAACCTCCTCCTCCCTGAATTATGCACGCTTGTTTACCTGCAAGAGGCTTGAGCAGTTCTCGTACACGCTATCGTTACACTATCAGGTAGTTCAGTGTGGTGACACTATGTGATTAACAACCCCTTTTTTATGATAGTTTGACCTAACAAAGCCCACGCTCGGTGTCATCTCGTCTACTGCGACTTTTAAACCTTTAGAAGGTTCATACTACACTCAAATTCTACTTTGTTACAACTTCGCAGATGACTCTCACACTGGAAACAATTATCAACTTTGTAGTTTCTCATGTTATGCAAAGGAAGGCAAATCGATACTATTCGTGAACTGCAATTCAAGTTGATGGACTTACTGTGAGAGGGTCAGGGGTACACACAGCAACCCGTCCTACCGTCCACTAACACGTCTTATGTTCCCAATTTTTGTCACCAAGGAAACTCACAAAACATAAATATTGATACATGTTTACCTATAGCAAACGCAGACTGCGGTTTGACTCTACAGTATACTTGAGATAGAAGACATTATGCGCAGTAGTAGTGAAATAGGGTGAACGGTATACCCTGCAGCATGAGTCAGTGTTAACATTTGAGAGTGCCAATACGGGGGTGAATGGTGACTGTTGGGGCGAGGACGTGAACAGCGAGACAGAGTTGAGGTGGCAAGGACACACACACACACACACCGACAAGTGGCCGCATTCCTATACTTCTCATAACTTGTATATATTCTCTTCTTTGTCCTGTTCTTTCTCATCCTTCCTCTTTCTTTCTCTTTGTTCTTCATCCCCTTCTTCCTATACTTTCTCTTATCACTCCTCGTTCATAATCATCCTCCTCATCTCCCTTCCCTACTTCTTCCCTCTCCCATTCCTTCACTTGTCATGAGTTAATCAGCAAAACTCCCCAGATAATCAGTTGTTCCCTATACACACACACTAAACAACAATTTAGTTTTAACTCTGTTGTAATTTGGTTCCTCAGACTGACTAGGCCTTGCTTCAGCCACCACCACCAGACCTTACCATCAGTACGGATCGTAACCCTTGTAGAAAGCATTCACACACAGTTTCCCTTATAAGACGTCTACTGTTATTTTAGGTATTTTATATAATGATTTTTTTCTCTTTATCTACTGGAAAAAATTATTACCAAGTTTTCGTAAAAAATAAATAGTAAATATGTAAAAGGTATAATTTTTTGTGTATTGAAAGTTATTATTTTGTTATAACTTACATACTAAAGTTGGATCACGTCAGCTGTAG